CCGGTGCCGGACACGGAAAAAAAAAAAAAAAAAAAAAAAAAAAAAAAAAAAAGATGAGCAGTAAGGGGATCTTAACCCTTGACTTGGTGTTGTCAGCACCACGTTCTCCCAAGTGAGCAAAACGGCCATCCCTATATAGGGATTGGAACCCTTGGCCTTGATGTTATCAGCACTGCACTCTCCTGAGTGAGCCACGGGCCTGCCCTAACCACTCTGGGTTTCTTCAGACCCAAACCCCACATCAGTGCCACTGTACAGCTGGATGTAGGGATGTGGTGGAAATGGAGACCAGGAGGACACATGCTGGGCACAGAGAGGTTGGAGAGGGAGTGAGGGGCAGAGAAGGCCTGTGTGGGATTAGTGGGGGGTGGCACCTTCATGTGCTATCCTGTGGAAAACCTGTGGGGGCAGAAGCTGGGCCTTCAGAGCAGAGTTCACTGGATGGAAGTTGAGGCTCCGGAGAGGAGAGGGTGAAGTTGCTGGGGAGAAGAAATGAATGAACCAGTGGTACTGAGGTGCCCAGTGAAGCTCAGAGCTTTACCAACATCTTATTTAATTTTCATAGCAGATGAGGAAATGAAAGGCAGGGGTGTCTGAGTCCTCTCTAGTTCTGCTCTTTTCTCTACAGCAGTGACTAGGGGAGATTTTGCCCCCACCCCATGTTGGAGGGTAGAGAGATGAACTCCACAATCCTCCAATGGTGACCCAACCCGTACCCCAGAAAGACCCAACAGAAATGTGCCCTAAGACAAACAAGAGGTTAATGTGTAGACAGTGGTGCTCAGCTGGGGGGAGGTGGGGATTTCCCAACCTCTACTCCCCAGGGGACATCGGGCAATGTCTGGAGACATTTTTGGTTGTCACAACTGGAGGGGTATTCTAATGGCTTCTGGTGGGTTCAGGATGCTGCAATGAACAGCCCAAATGTCAAGGGTAATGAGGTTAAGAAATTCTGCTTTATAGGATTGGGAATCCACAGCTGAGAGCTGGGACAAGGGCTGAGGGGGGAGCCAGGCATGGGAGGTGGATTTTTAGGGGATCAGAGTCAGACTTCCAAGTGCCCTTCCCCCACCCACCAGGGAGGGACATGGCGGGGGTGTGTGCACCAGAGTAGGACTATTGGCCAACAACTTCCCATCTCAAAGCCTTTTCCTCATTTGCAAACTGAAGATGGAACAGCTGCTTTCCAGCGTCATCTTTGGGATGAAGCGAGACCTGCGCATAACTTAATCCCAGCTCATTTATCCTAGTTTCCTGAGAGTGTAACTCAGTCCATGCTCATCCATCCCAGTTTCCTGAGCTTGTAACTTAGTCCCAGCTTGTCCATTCTAGTTTCCTGTGTCTCTGTCCTCCCTCTCTCCCTATCCAGGCCCAGCTCCCAGGCTGCGCCTGGCCGACGGCCCCCACGGATGTGCTGGCCGCCTGGAGGTCTGGCACAGTGGGCGCTGGGGGTCAGTGTGTGACGACGCCTGGGACCTGCGTGATGCTGCTGTGGCCTGCCGAGAGCTGGGCTGTGGGGGAGCGCTGGCCGCCCCTGGGGGCGCCTTCTTTGGGGAGGGGGCTGGACCCATCATCCTGGATGATCTTCGGTGTCGGGGAAACGAGACGGCCTTGCGATTCTGCCCATCGCGGCCCTGGGGCCAGCATGACTGTCACCATCGTGAGGACGCTGGGGCTGTGTGTGATGGTGAGGGGGCATGAACAGGGGCCCTGGGGGAAGGTTTGGGAGGGGGGTGTGTGGGCACCTGAAATGGAGGGGCAAGAAGTGGGGTGAGTGGCTTGTACCTACCTGCCCTTCACTCTTAGTCCAGACTTCCCACTTCACCCACTGGGCAATGTCTGAAGACATTTTTGATGGTCACAACTGGGGATGGAGGTGCTACTGGCATCTAGTGGGTAGAGGCCAGGGATGCTGATCAGCACAGGACAGCCCCCCATGACAGAATGGAAATAGCCCCAAGTGGACATAGTGCCCATGTTGAGCCTCAGTCCTATATCAGCCCCCACTGGCCCTACCTCCTGGCCCCAACAAAAACCAATCTCCTCTGTGTAAGGTCACCTCTCCTCTGTTACCCTCAAGCTATCCCCACACTCTGCTCTCTCTACTCCCTTATTTCTGGTCACACCCTCCTCTTCCCAGGTCAGGGATGTCAAAGGCTTAATGCTATGTTTGGGGAAGAGGTTCAGCAGGAAGAGACCTCTGTGCGCCTGCACCTGAAAGGACTGAGAAACAATGACGGATGAGATGGGAGGGGGGGGGCAGCCCAGCAGCACAGGGGAGGGTGGGTGCTAATCATTTCTCCCTCTTGCCCCAGGCATGCCCCTCGGTTATGTCCCTCCCACGGCCCCTGCAGTGCAGAGCAACGGCTCAACAATGCCCAGGGAGGCAGCATCCAGGCCCCTGTCCACTACGGTGAGCCAGGCCCCAGGGACAGCAGGCATTTTACCTCCTCCAGACTCTCCCGCTGCTCCTCGGGAGCCTGGACCGGAAGCCGGTGAGTCCCTTGCTCGTCCCCAAGAAAACAGGGTCCTTGCTTCTGTTTCTTTCCCCCAGCACCAAAACTGTATCAGGGGGGCCCTCTTGCAAAGAGAAAGGTGGGAAACAGCACAGGATCCCTCGCTCAGAAGGACAGGTGATTGGTTTAATACTCTGCTGACACCATCTTGAAATCTATAATTTTTGAACAAGGGTCCCTGCCTTTTCATTATTCACTGGGCCCTGCAAATTCTGTAGCTGGTCCTGGTTAGGAGAAAAGGCTGATGGGCTGAGAGTCTGATATATCAGGCGTCGAGTTTCCCGTGTGTGCCACATGGTCTGGCCGTGAGATCCATCACAGGGTACTCCGGCCAGCTCCCAGTGTCAGCCCTGCTCAAGAATTCCCTCAACTTGATTGAGCCTCTAGTTCTTTAGCAAATGGGGGTAAATGGTTTGGCCTGCTTCTTTCCCATGAATGGTGAAAGGACTTGATCAATGACGGCTGTTGTTTTAAAATATAGGTTTTATTATTATTCAGTTATGGTGAGGTCAACAGACCAGGAGATGATGGCCATTGAAAAGACAGTTTGTCGGGCCGGCCCGGTGGCACACTGGAGAGTGCGCCTCTTGGGAGTGTGGCGGCGCTCCCGCCGAGGGTTTGGATCCCATGTGGAGACCGGTTCCCGCTCACTGGCTGAGCGCGGTGTGGGCGCAACACCGAGGGTTGCGATCCCGTTGCCGGTCAGTAAAAAAGACAAAAAGGAAAAAAAAAAAAAAAAAGAAAAGACAGTTTGTCACAGTTCCCAAGAGGAGGGGACATGTCACACCGCACAAGGCCACACAGGGAAGCACCAGAGCTGGTCAGGAGGCAGAGGGAGCGAAGGGGAAATGTGGACAGCAGGCTTTATTGTGGATTTTTTTTTTTTTTTTATTGTGGATTCTTTGAAAAGGAATGGGTGAGGCAGGGTAAGCTGGTTTAGTATCAGTTAGTGTGAATAATTTCAGCAGGCTCTCAGACGTAAGGGTTAGCCTTAGTTGTCTGCTGCCTGACCCTAGGGTGATGAGGGCAGGTGGACAGCGGCCCAGAGTGTAAGATCCCGGTGAAGGCTCTGGAGTGGTTGGTTTGCATATGAAAAGCAAACCTTTCTCAATGTTGAGGTAAACGCTCAAGCCCAAGTCGTTTACTATCTCTGGGAATTAGCTAGCCCTGGGAGGGGCAGTACTGTCAACCTCAGCAAGGCCCCAAGGTGTCAAAGCATCAGAAATACAGAAAACAAAAAGGCATGATTAACACAGCTGTCTCCTCAAGCTTGGAGAAGGCTGAACACAAGGTGACTTGTTTTCACTGTGCTCACTGTTACTGAAGGCCTCCTTCTCCTTTTTCTGAATAATCATAATAGCTAACATTTATTGAGCATCTACTGCCTCATGTTGCCTGATGCTGTTCCAAGTTCTCTTCATGTCTTAGTCTAGGTAATGCCACCTACGGTACAGGTAGTGACTGGTCTCCATGTTACAAATGAGGGAGCACAGCTAAAAAATGGAAACACCAGGATTCATGTGAAGGCAGTTTGTTCCAGAGCCCACATTCCTTTTCAAAAATTGTGGTAAAATATACAAAACATAAAAATTCCCATTTTAACCACCTTTAAGTGCACAGTTCAGTGGTATTAATTACATTTATACTGCTATACAACCATCACCACCATCCATCTCCACTTTTCATCATCCCAAACAGAAACCCCATACCAATTTAACACTACCTCCCCCTTCCTCCCTCCCCCAGCCCCTGGCAACCACCATTCCACTTTCTGTCTCTATAAATTTGATTATTCTAGGCACCTCATGTAAGGGGAATCATACAGTATTTGTCCCTCTGTGGCTTATTCCACTCAGCACAGTGTCCTCAAGGTTCATCCATGTTGTAGTATGTGTCAGAATTTCCTTCCTTTTTAAGGCTGAATAACATTCCATTGTGTGTATAGACCACATTTTGTTTCTCCATTCAGCTGTGGATAAACACTTGGGTTGTTTCTACCTTCTGGCTATCATGAATAATGCTGCTATGAACACTGGTGTACAAGTATTCGTTTGAGTCCCTGCTTTCAGTTCTTTTGGATTTATACCTAGAAATGGAATTGCTGGGCCATATGGTAATTCTATGTATAGCTTTTTTGTTGTTGTCGTTGGCTGGCCAGTAAGAGGATCCAAACGCTTGACCTTGGTTATGTCTAACTTTTTGAGGAACCACCAGACTGTTTTTGTAGAACCCAGATTTTTAACCACTGCTTTATGCTTGAATCTCATTCAGCTAGAAGAAAGGGCTTCTGCCTGTCTTCTTCCTCCTGCCCAGCACTTCCATTCAAGGAACACCCCCACCACCCCAGCCTCACCCACAAGGGAAGGAGCATGCTGAAGGCTGTCTTCCAAGGAAGAGTCTCCAAGATGGTGCAGACTACCTTTGTCTTTCTCTGTCTCTCTTCTAATTGCTACTCATTAAAGCTTCCATTCCCTCCGCCCCATCACCCTCCCTGCCCCTAGAGCAGGCTTTGTTTTCAGTCTCTCCCTGTCCAGTTTGGACCTTTGCCTACCTCGGACCAAGCTTTCTGAAACTTAGAGCTGAGCCTTTCATTTCCCTGCTTCAAGTTCTTCAGGGATTCCCCATCATGGATACGATAAGGTCTCATTTTCGTGGCAGAGAATTCAAAGTCCTTCATGCCTTCCACATCCCCAGGCTCTAACAACTTGTTGTTCCCTCCAATACACCATGCTGTTCCTTGCCCTGGGTCTGGCATGTGCTGTGTCATCTACCTGGGTGCAGGACCTATATTAGTTTGCTGTGGCTGCCAAAATAAGGTACTACAAACTGGGCAACTTAAACAACAGAAATTCATTGCCTTGTGGTTCTGGAGGCTGGAAGTCTGAGATCAAGGTGTTAGCAGGATGGGTTCCTTCTGAGGACTGTGAGAGAGAATCTGTTTTATGCCTCTCCTTTAGTTTCTGGGGGTTTGCTGGCAGTCTTTGGTGTTCCGTAGCTTACAGATGCATCACCTGATCTCTGCCTTCATCTCAGTATGGCTTCTTGTGTGTGTGTCTGCTTGGTGTCCAGGTTTTCTTTTTATAAGGACCTCAGTCACGCTGGATTAGGACCCACCCTAATGACCTCACTTTAACTCGATTACCTCTTTAAAGTTCCTATCTCCAAATAAGGTAACCTTCTGAGGTACTGGGGGTTAGGACCCCAACATATCTTTTTCTGGGGAACACAATTGACCTTTTCCTTTTTTATCTGCTTGAACAAACTCCTTATCTTTCTAAGCCAAGCTCAAATGTTCCTCCATGGTGAAGTCATCCTCCCTGGGTTCTCTCTATCTTATCTTCACAGGGTGGTGAAGATAAGAGGACTGTTTGTTTTGGGCTCCCCATGAGGTCAGGTCTAGAGCACCTGGTGGGGAAATATTTGTTGAATGAATTGCAACAGGCCCCATCAAACTTTGGCTGCTTCATTCCTCCTTGCCAGCCCATCAAGGGCCTGAGGGACCCAGGTCAGAGGTCTTACTGCTCTGGGTAACTCTAGGAGGACCAGTGGGAACTGCAGGGAAGGCTGCAATCACATAACTGCTCCCCACCCATCCCAGCACACCTTCTTCCTTCTGCCTGGATTCTCTTTCACTCCTTCTTTTAAGTGACTTCCTCTGGGAAGCCTTCTCCAGCTTCCTGGGGCAGAATTC